ACACGCGTAAATCAAATACTAATCTGAAGAAGAAGAAAGGCCATAAAAAAACAAACAACTAAAATCTCTCCCGGGCAACACACATTCGTACTTTCTTAAAGAAAAGTTTACATTTTTTTTGTGAGTAGCAATTTAATGACAGCGGCTCCACTAATCTCTGTTTGTTTTCAGCATGAATCTGTCTGTGTGTGTGACGACGACAGTGACGCGTGCAAGTGATTTTTGTTAACGAAAGTAATCTCTTGACAGCAGCTGAGCGAACTGACCTATGTCAAAACGGAATAAATGTTTCGAACCGGACTTTGGCGCAAAATCTTTGAAACTTGTATTTGAATCGATTCTCTTCTCGTTTTCAATTCTCTTAACTTTGTATTGGCATGTTTTGGTTATTTTTTTCTGTAGTCTTTAGCCTTGAAACACTTTACTCGGGCTTTGGTTGATTCGCAGAAATATTTACTTGTATCGAAATAATTCAAGTTTATGTTCCCTGACACATAAAGGGGGTAATGTACATTAACACATTCATACATATGTACACATTTAAAATGTGCACAACAACGAGTTAATTTGGACCTTAGGTCAAACTAATGATAAGCCAGGTTCAAATTCCAGAGGAAAATAAAATGTAATCGTTTTCATCTTAAAATGTCAACGAATTAAAGTCCAAAATTTTATAGAACATAATAGTGTCTGGTGGACCGTAAGTTGAATATTAATTCTCCTGTCTACGAGTTTTTAGAGAGAACTTTATTAAATCCAGTTACTATGAGAGTTAAATAACTCATCATTATCAAATTAATGTACAATGAAGATTGATTATTGGGCTAGTTTGGCATTCCCTTTGTAACTTCAAAAAAAACTTATTAGTTCAAAAAGGTGTCGCAAAAGTAAACTTCCGATGTTTTTTGGCTGTAATTTAAAATAGAATGAAAAACTTTGATTTTTTTGTAGATTATTTTTATTTGGTCTTTCGACTTTATGTAAAAAATAACTAAAAGACCAAATAAAAATAGTCTACAAAAATAATCAAAGTTTTTCATTCTATTTTAAATTGCAGCCAAAAAATGGCCGCCGCCAGTTTATTGTCATTTAAGCCCTTTTTACGGCATTCCTCTTACTTTGACCAAAACTTCTGGCGATAAGTCCTCACATTCTTGACGGATATTATCTTTAAGAGGTGAAAGAATCTGAGGCTTTATGACATAAACCCGCGACTTCAAAAAGCTCCACAAAAAGAAGTGTGGAGCTGTCAAATGAGGCCATTGCAAATCTCCAAAACAGGACAACGGGTTCCAAGACCGTCGACTGCTACCCATTTACGTGGCACGTCGTCTGGTCGATGTCAACGGCTCTTCCATGACATCCTCGGCTACAGCAGCAATATTCTCTGCAGAAAGGATACTCCGGGGTCCACCACGCCGGCAGCATCTTTTGTCGAAGTACCGACCGATTATTGATCAAATAAAAAGTCAACAATATTCCGCGTTCTGGAGCAGTGTAGAGTAATATTATTTATCATCGTGTATTTCGAATATTCGAATTTCAAAACAGAACTGACATTAGGGGCCAATCGTTAAATTTATAGTATTTTCTGATATGAGGATTACTTTTGCGTTGCCATGTATATAACTCCTCCAACGGTTCTATAATAGTTCAAATATGTTCTGTATCAAATGATATATCCATACAGCTGATGGTATAATTACTTAAGTTAACTTTTTGAAATGCCAATATCGATGCTGATTGTTCCATTGTCTAAAGGTTTTTGGAGTCGTTCTTACCCATTCTTCTTTGTGTGATTATTTTCAGTCATTCTTTTTGAGCTACCGGTTGAAACGAAGCATATAAAAATAAAATTATAAACCAAAACTGTGTTTGTAAACTATACCGCTTTTTAGTACATTGATCTCGGAATGAGGTCATTAGCTCGAATTAACTTTTGTTTCAGTCTGAATTAATTAAAAACAGAATGGTGACGTTAATCTGAGATAATTTGGCATTTCCTATTTTATTAATTCTCAGAGAACTAGAGTGAGAGCAGGTAAACGATGGTATGGGAGAGTAGTGGGAGAGTAAGCGGGGAAATAGAATCAGAATGTATTTGAAAAATGTGATCTCACACGGCATTGAAGTATTGGACTACAAACTTTGTATTAGCTGATTGCACAAAAGTTCCAAGTTGAGTCTTTTTGAGAAATTAGTTTTATGTTTTTAACCACACGCTGGACAAAGTGACCCATAATCCTTAACTAATTCCCTAGTATAAATAACAATTGTTTCTACAACATTGGTTTTGCTAATTAAAATCTGGCACATCGTGTCTACATTTCTTGTACCTTGACACAAATCTTCAATGGCCAGCTAAACAAACTGCAACGGAGTGGTGTTAATTTATAAACAACAGCAAAAATGGAACTCTATTTATTCAACACGGTCAACATCAATGGCACTGAATCTACAGACCTCAAAACCTGCTTCCAATTTGGACCAAAAAAAATGTTACGAAAACCCTTGTTTTTTTTTTAAATATAAACACAAACAGCATCAGTCTGTCAAACAAAATAATGACAACAACAATTACTGTAGCCCACAGACATACATAAATGGTGGCTCAGCAAAAAATTATGATTTTTTACAACATGTCAAACACGACGAAAATTAAGCCAAAATATTGCGTAAATTTAAAAAAATATATGACAGCTGAGTATGGGAGGCTTTTCATGCTTTAGGCGTCACGTATTGGCATTATGAATTAAGCAATGTATGTAAGTGTGTTCATACACATACATACAAGTGCTTATAAAAGAGTAGAGGAATTGAGTGGTACTGACTTGCGGATTATTACAATCCTGTTGAAACGTCCGCAGTCGTAGATCGATGGTTTTTCTTAGAAATTTAATTTAAAATAAAAAAGCGGGTATGGAAACATTGGAAAATAAGTCGCCCATTTGACTTATTTTCAAAGTTACGCATAATTTTGTAAATATGTAAAAACAGTAAGAACTATTCGGTAACGTGTAGTAAGAGAAGTTTCTCTCTCATATTAGGTATGTCTGGTTACTTTTCCTGCAGGATTGATTTAAGTAATCAGCTGATTTGTTAAAATGTCCGCCATGGACAGAAATGAAGCACACATCATATAAACATGAGCCAAAAAAAACCATACATAGTATGGAGGGTATATTAAGTTCGTCATTCTGTCTGTAACTGATCGATGTATATATATTCTTGGTCAGATCTTAGAATTTTACTAAGACGATTAAGTTCCGTTCCTCCGTCCGTCTGTTGTAATCAAGCTAGAGTCAAAACTAATAAAGATAGTAAGCTAAAATTTTACACAAATCAGTCTTTTGTCTGCAGTTCAAGTTCGAAGATGGGTTTTATCGGTATACGATATCGTATAGCCCCATATACAAAAATTTGGCTACAATCATCAAAATAACGAATACCCCCCGATATATAGCCAATTTTTTTTATGAAATTGTCTGAAAATACACAAAGGAGTACCTTCTGAGTACTTTATCCCCTGGAAGTGTATTGTCTATATAGGTCCACGATATCGTATATTCCCCATATAACGGTGCCTCTCAATATTCGATATTTTGATGATTTTAGACTAGAAGTTCTTTCTAAGCTCTTTACCCCCTGGAAGAGAAACGCCTGTATAGGTCCACGATATCGTATAGCCCACATACAACGGTACCTCACGATTTCCGATGTTTGGACAATTTTTAAGGATTTTATTCACTGCAGTTATTTAAAGTTCGTAATGGGAACAAAAGTATGCCAGAAAATTGTCTATTCAGGTCCAAGTCTTCGTATAGGTCCCATATATCAGTGCTCCCCTGTATTTTGAAGATTTTATTTACATTTGTTTATTCGAGTTTGAATATTGTAATGGCTTACGACAGAAGTTGCCTATACAGGTCCACGTCTTCGTATAGACAACGGTTATATTCGGTATCTTTAAAATTTTAACAGAACGGACTTTATTTAAAAAAAAAAATAGAAAAATATGGCAAAATACCTCAAAATACTGAATATCCTGAGGTACCATTTTGTAGGGCTATACGAAAACGTTGACCTGTACATTCTATGTTCTGCCACAGCAGATAGAGCCCATTTCGAACTAGAAATACCAAATTTTGGACAATTCTTTGAAAAAAGGTGCCAACACCGAATATCAAGAGGAACCGTTATATGGCCGCTATACCAAAACGCCGACCTATATATGTTATGTTCCGCCACCGAAGCTGAAACCCGCCACATGCGAAGTTTGTGTATGCAAGTCCGTCTATTCTTCCTTCTGTCCTGCCAAAGAGCAGGTCACATTTACATTTTTCGATTGGGATGAAATGTTGCACAGTTCATTTATTTGGCCCAAGAACAAGACAAGAAAAAAAAAATTAAAAAAAAAATATTAGAAAAATTATACATAGGTCTTATATATAATTTGAGCTCATTTATGCACCGTATATCGGTTTTCTTTCTTCTGATATACCCTCCCTCATGAATCACATCATAAAGGGGTAAACAATTTCCAAAATTTGAAAATTCCCATTATCCGGCCATATTAATAATCATATCATTATGGAGTTAAATTCTTGAATCGCCTAGTAGTTGTGGAAGATATCCAAATTACGAATCAATTATTCTGACTCAACAACATGGCAGCTTGTGCTCTGTTATTAACAACTGCCAAAGAAAAACTTGGTTCGGAAATAACAATTTTATAATCGAAACATTTTACAGTGCAATAATTTACTTGGAATTGTATTGCAACAATAAAACAAAATGGATGTGGAGAGGCGGACCGACGGACATACGAAAACTAAAACACACACACATACACACAACAGAACAAATAAAACCAACAACTGGCCAGCCAGTTGGTCAATTGCCGGTCTTTGTCGTATGGGAATGTTGACACATGACGGTGTGTAGAATTATTAACAAGTTTAGGCCATGAGAACTGGTCGAAAGTTTCTCAGCTGTAAATAATAGAGGAGTAGTAGTAAACTGCTGCAGAACATTGAACTGTCAACAGCGTAAAATTGGCTACTAGAATTATTACAACATTTGTTAACAATTCTATTGCAACAATTCAACTCAAAGGACACGCAATACTAATAAATTCGAAAAAAAATCTTTTATTTGATTTACAGTTTTCATAACAAGGAAAAAACCTATCGGCTGGAGAGAAGTAAAGTGCATATCCTTGAGTTTTAAACCCTTTTCGTTGTGGCAATTGATGGCTGTTTGTTGACAATTGCCGTGCACGCAAAAACCCCATAGATCTAATGTGAAAATTAAATATCGAAAGAGCATAGCAAGTGTTGCTGATTCTATTCCATGGTATTTGTAGCCGGTATTGGACCACATAATTATCATCATAGACGTCTATCAACCAGCAGTATGTCGAACCAAAAACAAGGTGCCCTCAAACAATGCCTGCAGCTATGTTGCCTCTTGGCCACATTTATAATGGCGGGATTTTTCAGTACGGCCGGTGCCAAGCCTACCATATCCTTCAGTTTTCCCCAAGGACTACAAGGTTTCCCCACCTTCACTTCATTTACACAGCAAATCATTGAAAATCGCAGTGCTCGACAAATGAAAACTTACAGGTGAGTAATTCGAAATATTTATTGGCATAAAAAAACTAAATTGAAATAAAATTCGTTAAAGGTAGGTGAGGGTAGATAAAAGGATTTTTTGACTGGCTTAAGCCATTCTCACCTTAAACTTTTCAATTAAAATTCATATTTGGTCAACTGGAATTTAGAAAATCTTTTTACAAACCATTTTAAAATGGGAGAACCATTAGATCTTTTACAAGACTTCAGTCCATTACCCAGTTTTTGATTGTCGAGCATATAATGTTGATAATGTGTAATAATTTAACAAATTATTATACACTCTAGTGATAAAGGAATGAAAAGATAAATTTTGAAAGTTTTACGCTTATCATCGAATAAATTCGGTTCTGTAACTCATTTTTTCAGTTACCAACAAAAATCTGTAACTTTGAAACCCAAAAGTTTGATATTGAAAATAGAAAAGAAGTTAAAGTTGACAACATTGGTATTTATCGGTAGGTCTTAGCGACTACTTTGATTTCGTCGCTCACTTACCAAATTTAACGGCAACTCATAAAAGGTTTGACTCTCTATGGAGTAGTTTCCAAAGGAATGGGACAACATTGTCTATTTCGTATCGGACCTAAATAAATATGATATAAATAATGCGACGTGCCAGGTTCGGACTATATTGGTTGCTTCCCTCACTTTATATCAGATATTTGTTAATCTTTAGAAAATGTGTGTGAGGTACCAGATATAGTCGACAGAAGTATTCCATTTTCATATTTCATCTAGTACAGATAACATGGTATGGGCAAAATTACAAGAAAATCGAATATTTATATCCAATTTTATGCGAAATTACAAATTCAATATTCATCTGAGATTTTGGGTTGGGAGACATATTTAGATATACCAAGTTAAAAAGAATCGCTAGAATAAAATTATTGAAAATTGTCTCCCTTGGTGGGTGAGGTACCAGAAGGAGTTCGTAGATATATTTCATCTTCACAAAGGATCTTGTGTTAGTAAAAATGTTTGTGTGTGTTAAATTTAAAGAGACTTGAATGCTTATTTCGCTTTCTTGAGCGTTTTGTATTTCAAAATCTTAAACCCTATGTGGGGGAGGTACAAGAAGTAGTGGATCGATATATCCCATCTTCACACCAGACCTTGGGTTAATAAAAGTGTAGTAATGTGTATAATATGAACACAATCTGACTATTACATCACTTTTTATAAGAGTTATAATTATTCAAAATTTTGACACTTTTTGTGGGAGGTACTTGATGGAGTGAACCGATATTATTGATTTTCGCACCTGATGCATATATGTGGATTTGTAAAATTGAAGCAAAATCGGATTATCCTTTATCTTTCTGTGCAGTAAATTATTTCTTTGAAAATGTTGACATTTTGTGTGGGAGGTCCAGAAGGTGTGAACCGATACTGTCCATCTCCGAACTAGATCTTAGTTTGACAATAATATTACGATATACAAAGTTTGGACCAAATTGGATACTCCCCGCACATCGCTAGATCTATCCAAAATGTCCTGAAACGGATTTGGTCCAAAAAGACCTATGGTCTAAAACCGTTATTTCGATATATACCCTCTGTAGCCATATGACTGAGGGTATGAAAAACAAGTAAAAAAATATTAAGTTCGGCCGGGCCGAACTTTAAATACCGTGATTTCAACAGACAAACAGACGGACATCGTTAAATCGACTTAGAATTTTATGCTGACCATGAATATATACACTTTATAGGGTCTACGACGAATATTTAGGGATGTTACAAACGGAATGACAAAGTTAATATACACTCCTTTCCAAGGTGGAGGGTATAATAAGTTATTAGATGAAATATGGTATGTTCCAGAACTGCAAGAATGTAATAATTTTACAATAACCGAGTTTCCCTTTATCATATCGGAAAAAATTGCAAAAGTAGTAGATTCTTGTAGGTTCTGGAACAAATCTATAATTTGTTGAAGGCTTATTGTTGGACATATAATTAAATTATTTTTGAAAACTGATTAAAAAATTTGATTGTCAATCAGTTGATGATTCTAAATAATTTAACTGTCAAAGCTGCTTTCTTCATTCGCTCTCATTTACTCGACTTTTGAACAATGGAATACTTATTGGTTTTTTTTGTGGAAAAATGTAAAATTATCCAAATCAATTGTTTGGTATAAAAGTTTACTTGACGATACAATAGGCGTGTCTAGTTACCCTAAAGTGCGTAAGAATTTTTTTTCAAAAGAGAACGGTTCGAGATAGAAGTTTTGACAGTCCTTTTACTGAGAGTTTGCAAATTCTTACAATCACTTGCAACTCTTCTTCTTCCCCTGCCGGTGATTTATATTTAGATCAGAAATAAAAAAAATCTACATTGTGGAAATTGCAAGCCTAACTGTATTGTTTTTCGGCAAATTTTTTAAGTTTGACATGCTTCATTTCTTATAATGTCGGACAAATAGTTTTATTTTCACAAATCAGCTGATCTCAAGTTGCAGGAAAAGTAAGCAGAAACACTTACTATACTCAACTACAGAGCTGCATTTTTTTCATATTTCCGTTGAACTTAATATAAAATTTAATTTATATTATATTTATATTAATTAATATTTAAAATTCTACAATAATTTGGTTTCCTTTTTTTTCATTCACAGTGGCAAACGATTAACGAACGACTCATTACTCATGATATACTATCACGATTCGACAATTGCGGTTACCGAATTGGGACCACAAAAACTTCTACTGGGCTGTGAACTCATTGAAATTTAGTAAGTATGACCAGTATCCAGTAAATGTGATAAGTATCTAAAAACTCACATATTCATTATCAAAAAACCACATTGATTTGAAAAAAAGACGACCTTTACTGGTTGCAAAGAAAAAAAAAAAGGGTTCGATAAGTAGGAAAAATTTGTAAAAACCAGCAAATGTGTAAGCAACCAGTCGGATGATATCAACCCTAGGGGGTTTCAACTAAATATTATCTTTCAACTAAAATATGATCCTCTTTTACATTAACTTGTCATTATTAGTCTGAATTTTTAATAGAAATTTACTAGCTTCCATATTCTTAAAAACTAAACTGCCACAGTAAACTTGATCATCAAATGATATATGTACTTCGAAAATCAATCACTGCCTTCCACTTTTAATTGGGAGTAATGTACTTTCATTCGATAAATAAGGCCAAAAATAAATTGAACCCCGGAAAACGTTTAAAACACGTTTCGCCAAACGAAGTAATCGCGCGTCTTGACTGATATGAATGGTGGCGAGTCGCGACTAGATTCATTTGCATATGTTTTTATGTTATGTCCCAGAGTTTAATTGGCCAAGACGGAAGCGATGTTAGCTGTTGTTTGATTTCTTAATGAATTGCTGCGAAATTGGCAAGGCTATTTGAGATTGACTCGAATGCGAAGGTGCAAGAGGGGTATCGCTAATGGGTGCTATTGAATGGATTAGGTTAGCAGGTCCCATGCCAATCCTAATTAAAAATGTTAGACATGCCCGATAAGAGGGAGAGGCTTGACTGATGTCTGATGATATTTATTATTTAATTAATTCCACGCGTGTATTAGGGTGGGTGTTGTGTTCCAATAAAGGGAATAAATAACAAACATATTTTAAATTCATTCATTGCACTTTTGAAGTACCAACTTGGCTTGTTGCCAATTTTAATACATTTATTCTTTTTTCTTCCCCTCTTACCTTTAGCAATGAACAGGAAGGCAAAATGCTTTTGGAGAACCTCTCCAAATACAATCGCCCCTTGGAGATAACATTTGAGGAAATGTTGAAGTTAATGCGGCAATGTGAGCGTGTCGATAAACTGACCTATGCCGCACGAAACACCGGCAAATCATCGGATGCCCCATCGTCCACAGAAACGAATATCGCCTTAAATCTGGCCGCAAATATTTTCCCCAAAAGTCCACTTTCAATATTGAGTGGTATTATACCAGGTATGATTTGAGATTTATTTTGATGCTTGGAGAATTTAATGAGCGAGAATTTAATTTTTATTTAGGCACAAAATGGTGTGGCACCGGTGACATTGCTGAGACCTATGACGACTTGGGCACTGAAACCCAAATGGATCGCTGTTGTCGTCAACATGATTTGTGTCCGGTGAAAATTCGGGCATACCAAACCAAATATGATCTCAACAATGATTCATTGTATACAAAGTAAGTAGAGATGTAAAAGTCTATTGGGCGGTATTTGTAAAAGTTTCTACAAAATATTGAACAATTTTGAAAATAATGTAATTATTTTAAAAATAGGCATGTGCTATAATTTTTTGGTAATAAATTACTCAGTAAAATTTACTGAGAGAATTTCCTTGCTTATTTAGTAAAATCTAGCTAGAAATCAGCTGTTACAGTAGTTTATTTAATATTTTACACGCATGGAAACATTGTTCAATTCCTTCCCATATTTTTGGGATTTGAAAACCAAACAATCTACCTTTGATCATGCTACAATCAGAAGGCCAGGTTCTCTATTCATTTTACATTTTTCACAAATTTCTTGAACTAGAAACAAAAATGAAAAATTTGAAGATTGGGTTAAGAAAAATCCATTAGGTTATTAAAGAGTTAAAAATAGAAGACAAGTGTATTGGAGTTTTGATTGAAACCTCTGCCATATTTTTTTGGAATTATCGGAATAAGATTCTTTGAAATCCGTGCATATTATTGTGTCTTCAGTAATATTACTGATAACAATATGATGTTTATTTTGATTGAAAATTTTAACAAAGACGCGAGTCACTTTAGAGGCCTTTTTGGTCACTTCTTGAAAATTGGATTAACAAGTTTAAAAATATCAGTCGGTTTTGCCGACAGAGGTATACACTAAAACAAGTAAGCAAAGGCTACAGTCGAGCGGGGCCGACCGTAGAATACCCTACAACACTATAATAAACGATACAGTATATATAGGCGAGAAACTCGAAAGAATTCCACAAGATATTGTGACAAATAATAAAAGAAAACCATCAGGTTTCAAATAATAGCAACTTACACTAATTTGCTCATTTCCAATTTTTGCACGTAAATGGGCACGATTATAGGTCTTTGGGAAATATTGGTTTCAGATCTAGACCAATATTTCCCAAAGACCTATAATCTCTCAGAAGTGGCAAAAGATTAACATTTATTATTGGTTTTTGACTGAAACGCATCTATATGAGATACAGACATTTGACAATATTCTGCAACGAAATAGTCAGTAGTGCGTCTTTCCTGTATTTGTGAATTCTCCAAAAAGTCACTGGAATGGACATTTTCGTATTTTGTCTACAAAAGTTGGCAAACTATTTCACACATTGAATATTTTTGGATGGCCATCCAAAACTGCTTGGCTTTTGCAATGTTCGGTAATCCCCATTCAAATGTGCATGAGGATCGGGCGATAATTACGACCTGCTGACAATTTTGCATTTTTTTTTTTGGTCCATTTCAACCCCTAAATATATGGCGATCATCTCCAAAAAGAGTAGGCTTCTATTCTGACCCTCATCTTATCCCCATGCAAAATTTCGTAAGGATCGGGCCATAAATGCGATCTGTATATGATATCCTAATTTCCTAACTACTTAGTTTTGTTAGCTGTAGAAATATTACCAAATGTTTAATTAAAAATAAAAATATGCCAAAAATGTGACACAATTGAAAAAAATATGAGAAAATTTTACAAAATCAATATTTTCATCTGTAGAGAGATATTTTTATGCGATTTTTTTAGACGTTTTTTCTTTCCTGCCAAGAGGCCATTCTGAATTAATGAGAACTGTCGAAACCAGTTCAGCCGTTCTCGACATATAAGAGATCTTTCAAGCATATCTTCTTTGATAGACATATATATCGCACATATTTTGCTATATATCCGATTTGTTGGATCTTAACATCAATGTAAAGATCAGAAGTAACCTTGTCATGGCTTTGTGATTTCGCCGGGATTTAAAATATTCGCGGTTTAATGAAAAATTTTGATTTTTTTCAACAAAAAAGATATGGTCTATTTTACCCGCTAAATATTATCCGATGACCACCCACATTGGTAGGCTTCTTCCCCGCCCTAAACTCTAGCTACATGCGAAGTTCCGCGTCGATTGGTCTATAATTGCGACCTGTATAGCTACTGCAAAATCCGACATCCGATCATCTCCAAAAGAAATAGGGTTCTATTCTGACCCTAGCCCCACCTCCATTCTAAATTTCGTGAAGATCGGGCCATAATTGCGACCTGTAGAGTGATTACAAATTAACATGGACAGACGGACAGACGGACGGACGGACATACATAGCTAGATCGACTCAACTCGGCGAGCTAGGAAGATCCATATATACTTTCCTATGTGGGAAATCAATATTTCGAGGTGTTACATAATTTTTGGCCCAATCGAACTTATAATACCCCCAACACATAGTGTTGTAGGGTATAACAATGCCTGCTTGTTTACATAAATATTACAGGTGCCAGATTTGGTCTATATCGACTACTTCCTGTACTCTATATGTGATAATTTTTGGAAAATGTTCAAACGTGCGTGATGAATGCGTTGCAGTGGATCGAAGTAATCCACTTCATCTAATGCTGATAGAAATATTGCGGTGTTCAAAATTTAAAGAAAAACGAACACTTGTCTACAGAATCGCTGAATTGATTCACATTTTATAAATGTTTTTTAAAGGAGTAAACCGATATATCCTATCTTTGCAGCAGATCTTGTGTTGGAAATGTGCGAAATTGAAGACAATCACATTTTATACGAATTATAATTATTCAAAATTTTGACACTTTGTGGAGTAGGTACTTCATGGGGTGGACCGATATTGTTCATTTTCGCGCCTGACTTAGCAAAGACGAAAATATTGGGATTTGTAAGGTTGACACAAAATTGAATGATTCTTCTCATTCTATGTGGTCATTTATTTTCTTTAAAACGGACATCCCTAGATAGACTCCAAGAGTCCCAAATAGGATTTGGTCCCAAGAGAACTGGGGTCTAAAACTGTTATTTCGATTAGGTACGTTCTGGCTGTATCAAAATATATGTGGCTATATGGCTGAGGGTGTACAAACGCTTTTCAACCGAGATTGTAACAGGTCAGGGCATTTAACTAAATTATTAGTCACAAAATTCTACAAAAGGCCAAAACATAGTTTAGGGTTAAATTAGTACTTCAAGTGTCAGCTCGTCTGTTTGTGGAAATAACTCCAGCTTCCAAAAGGTTGAATCAATTTAAAAACCAATTGAGTTCTGCCGGTCTAAACTTTTAATACCGTGCACCATTTGGAAGGAACTTCAAAAAAAAATTAAAAAAGATCGTCGAAAAATACCGGCTTAAATAAAACCGTTACATGGGGATATAAGAAGACGAGGGCAAGCAGACCCACGAAGACGTGGACCTGCATAGACAATTTTCTGTCATTGATTGTAGTATATATTACGAACTTCAAATACGAAATTTCAAACAATTCGGGTGAATAGTGTCGATAACATCATGAAAATACCGAATCTTGGGAGATACCGATGTATGGGAGATACCGTGTATAATGTCTCTAAAATCATAAAAATGCCAAACATTGGGAGGCTATGTGAAAACGGTGATCGACATGGCCCAAATACAAACTTAACCTACCTACTGGCAAAATACACCAATTTAGGCCCATTCCCGGCGAAGCGCTTGCTTGAGGTGATCGTCACTTTGGTTTTTTTAGTGCCAAGTTTGCTTTCCAAAATACTCCAAACACAATAGTCCAACGGATTGGTATCCGAAAATTTTGGTGGCCATTGTGCGCTGGAAAGGAAGCGAGGAACCTCATTTTGTAACCATTCTTGGGTGGCGCTTGCTAGGTGCGACGGTGCTGAGTCCTGTTGGAATGTCCAAGGTCTGCGGCCAAAATGTTTGCATGTTCAAGGCTTTAATACACCCTCCAGAATATTTTCGCGATAATATTCGTCATTTATTCTTATGCCACGATCGATTAATACGAACGGAGAGCGACCATCGGCTGTTATGGCGGCCCACACCATCACCATAGCCGGCGTTTGTGTTCTGGTGGCCAAACGAAGGTGCACATTTTCAGCTGACCTCTTTGGCAAGTAAACACGATCATTGTTTGTTTACAAACTGCTGGACAACGAATGTTTTCTCATCTCACCCTGTATCTGTATCACTCGATATTCGGCATTTTGATAATTTTTGATAAATGAATTTTTTGAAATTTTACCACTTAGTTCCAATTAAAATTTCTTTTTTACTGGTTTTGAATATTTTTTCTGGTCAAAATTGTTTGTGTTTGAAATTTCGTACGCTCAACGCATTTTGGTAACGTTCTGTAGACATTCCTGATAAATCCAATGCTCTCAGCTCTCTATAAAATTTCAAAGCTCTATATTAAATGTTGCGAAATATATTTTAAAATATTGGGATATCTTCGTATATGATCAAGGCTACATAGGCCTTAAAATGATGGTGAAAGAATCCGAACTTTATTTCATATATCTGTCGGAGCGCCGACTGAAACTTTGTTACTTGTCAACTTTTCTCATTCATTATTTTCTTTTCCCCTATTTTCAGATCCCATTGCATCTGCGATGACATGCTGTTCTCCTGTTTGAAAAAGACCAACACATCTGCCTCACAGCTCATGGGTTCGATATATTTCAATTTGGTGCAGGTGCCCTGTTTGGATGGCGAAAAGAATCAATATCAATTTCGGGCGGCCAAGGAGGGTTTCTGAGACCCGATTCACCCCTCCCAACCTAGCATACACGGCCCACATGTGCTTATTGGCCAACTACATTGTTAGCATGTAGTTGTTAGTTGTTAATTATCTATCCCATGTTGTACATAGACAATAGTTACTGTAGTTATTTATATCTAATTAATATTATGTTATTTTTTTATGTTTTTTATTATTATTGTAATAAATGAAAAAAGAGGTTAAACGTTTTTTTTACATATTGTCCGGTTGTTATGTGTTTACAGTGTGAGGAATTGAACCCAAGTCGGCTGCAGACGTAATGTATTGGAAATGTGTTTGTGGCCATGTTGGGCGATCGCCTGGTTTGTGGTTGGAGTTGCTCACAAATTTAGCAACAATGGATGGAAATGTGTTTTGTATTTATTTTTGATAATAAATAAAAAATGTGCCAACAACAAATATGAACAATTTACACACATTTTGCACATTAGCAATTGTTTGTTACCACTAAAAATACAAAATTGAAGACGGCAATGGAAAAAAACATTTTACTTCTATTGTTAGATACATCGTCATTGCAACCATATGTTTGAAGGAATGTTTATTTGTGTGGACTGGCGGTGAATAGATGACGGATGGATGGACGGATGGATGGATGGATGGCTATGCTTTGCTTTGCAAACGCGCCAAAAACAAATTGGCCTAAATAGATATTTTATTAATTATCATTTGGTGTTATTAATAAAAATAATAATACATTCATATTGGCTGGAGGTAAAAGAAAATTCGTTATTCCGTTCGTCATTTCTACAAATAATCGAATGTGAAAAACTTATAAAGATTAATGAATGTTATTTGGGGAAACAATGGGTTTTAGTTGCTCTACAAATTGGTTGATTATTTCAATATAATAATTAAAATATTTAAACAATCTAAACATATGATGGGACTGATAAAATGTGAAAGTTAATATATTTTCAGATTGAATAAAATATTTAGGGTAAGACAGCCATGTTCCGATTTTCTGTTTTGTGGGAAAGAAGGTTGGTAAACACGGAAAATTCCACCTTATACCTCATCTCTTGTTCAAAGGTAAAACCAGGACAAATGTATGCTTCTGATCTCAAAATAAATAAATTCCTAGGGGAAGAGTATAGTGGTCCAATTTTGGTTCTATGAATTCAAGGTAAACTGATTGCAAATAATTGTTCTTTACCAGAACCTAGAAAATTCTACAAGTTTTGCAATTTTCTTCGATATCATAAAAAATCGTAGTAAAAACTTATACATTATTGCAGTTTTGGAATATTATAAATATTGTGAAGCTCTGAATTTCTATAATTTACCTGAGCTAATTTCATTGCAAAAAAAATCTCTGATTTGTGTACAGGGTGAGATGAAAGAAACTGTAACCAACTTCAGACTGCTGTCATATCTAAGCCAATAGTCCGATAGTTGTTAAAATTATTCCAGTGACAGCTCATTATATTGTTTACAAGCGTACAAAATCATTTTGGTGAGAATTTTCTAGAAAAAAAGTTATTCGTGATGGAATTCAAGCGTGATAGTGTGATTTCTTTATATTTGACTGGAAAACCACAAGTGGCTATCGTTAGAGCACTCCAGCATTTAAATGTGAATAAATCGTACCACCGCTCGTTACCGTGATACTGGTGGCGTAGCCAGACGTCAAGTAAGTGGACGGAAGAAAACAGCAACATCAGCAGAAATGGTTCAAAAAGTAAAGAAGCGACTTGATCGAAACCCGCGTCGCAGTGGCCGAAAATTGGTTCGTGAGCTGAACATATCGCAATATTCCATTCGGCAAATATTGAAAAATGAGCTCGGGGTAAAGCCATTGAAATTCCAAAATGTGCAAGAACTTATACCGCAACAGAAAGAAAATAGACTCAAAGGAGCTAAAGGGTTGCTTCGCTTGGCCGAAAGTGGGGAACGAATTTGGTTTTCTCCGATGAGAAAACATTCGTTGTCCAGCAGTTTGTAAACAAACAAAATGATCGGGTTTACTTGCCAAAGAGGTCGGCTGAAAATGTGCACCTTCGGTTGACCACCAGAACTCAAGCGCCGGCCATGGTGACGGCCGCCATAACAGCCGACAGTCGCTCTCCGTTTTTATTAATTGACGTGGCGTCAGAATAAATGTCGAATATTATTATCGCGAGAATATTCTGGAGGCTATATTAATGCCTTGGACATGAAGACATTTTGGCCGCAGACCTTAGAAATTCCAACCGGACTCAGCACTATCGCACGCGCCACCCAAGAATGGTTACAGAATGAGGTTCCTCGCTTCATTTCCAGCGCACAATGGCCACCAAAATCTCCAAATACGAAACCGTTGGACTATTTTGTCTAGAGTATTTTGGAGGAAAGTAAGGTTTGCACTAAAAAATACCAAAGTTTCGATCACCTCTAGCAAACGCTTCGCCGGGAATGGACCAAAATACCGCAGAGCAACATTCAGGCAGCGTGTGACGGTTTCATTGGCCGTTTGAAGGCCATAATTCGTGCCAAAGGTGACCAATTTGAACAAATCTAAACTTATTTTAAAATCTGATACTATTTCCGACATTTTTTGTTTCATTCAAGAAAATTAAAAAAATTTAAAAATTATGCCGTTTGACTTTGTTGCAGTGTTTTCATCTCACCCTGTATGCTTCTGATCTGCAAATAAAGTAGAGATTAGTTTTTTATTCTAACATGGACATGTGTTAAAGAAAATATTTTTGTTTTCGCACTTTCGTAGAACACAGCCTTAGCACATAAAAAATAAATAGCTACAAATATACACATTTGTTAGTATATATTTCAAGATTTTTAAGTATTTAATGATTTGTTCCAGTACCTGAAGATTTTTACAAGAAATTTTTTGGTTATCATAAAGGGATATCGTAGTAAAAACTTACGATTCCAGAACAGTATGCCATTAGTATAAGAATGTCATACTATTTTTAAGTTCCCTTTCGAATTGGACTCTCCAAACCATGACAAAGTGATTTGCATTCCGATATCTTGAACACACATACATAGACGATTGTAAACCGTTTTGAATATTTTAAATTAAATTTATTTTTGAATGTTTTTCTTTTATTTATATATAAATAGTAATTAATTATTGATAGATATTGGAAACTAGAAATGAATTTAAAAATTTTCTCTTATTTTTTTGTTCAACAAAACAAAACACGTATTAACAAAACGTAATAATAATTAATTAAAAAAAAAATAGAAATTACAAATTTTTGGAAGATGTCACCGAGTTACAGTACAAGACTATACAACACTATGCGGACTTTTGTATGGGCATGCTTGGAGAAAAAAAGAGATTATCATTGATTGACATCTAAGAAATTGTTAGTGTTACTGCCATGCCGCCTTCATTGGTCCCGTCAATTTGACGGGACTCAATTTGACTTAGAAAATGCTGGCCACATTGGGTCCTGGTGGGGAATTGGTTGGCACAGGTTGTGTTGGCCTATCAATGTCCTGATAGCTGCGTTGTGTTGTGGTGGGGAATACAGATCCGGTTTGTAAACTGCCGCCACGTGTATTGAACTCGCGATACAAGAGGATGACACTGACAGGACGAATCAGCAGATTGATAATTGAGAACGCCACGGCCCAGCCATCTGCGTGTGAAAAAGAGAGAATGTAATTATAGTAATGTGTAGAGATGTTCGACACGTATGTATGTCCATTACTTACTCATGGCGTGAAACATGATAATAATGGTGACCATGTCAAAGAATATACTGCTCGTATCAATTATTAAGGCCTGCAAAATGGAGATTAGAAGAACAATATTAGTTATTTTATTGCATTTACATGACAACAAAACAAAGTGATTTTAAAATACAATGTTTGCGTTTTAATAACTGTAGTAGAAGAAGGGTGAAATGACACGATTTTATATCAAAACAAATTTTCTGTACAAAATCATATGAAAATACAATAGCCAAAATTGATCTGAATTTTAACTAAGAAGATAAATAATTTTCTAACCCTAATTTCTGTGGAAATCACTCTAGCTTCCGAACGAATAGAAGTAGGTTAATAAAATTTTACTCAAATGTTTGTTTCGTTTGCAGGACTTTTGGTATTAAAAATGGCTATATAGGTCCACGTTTAATTATAGCCCCCATATGTACCTCCCTATATTCGGTATTTTTAGATTTTAGAGACATTATTCACCGGACTCGTTTCAAATTTCGTATTTGAAGTTTTTAACAGGTACTACAACCTATGACATAAATTTTTCTATGCAGGTAAAGGTATTCGTGTAGACTCTAAATATCGGTACCTCCCCGTATTCGGCGTTTTGAAAATTTTGCCGTTCACGCGAATCCACGTCTTCGTATGGACCTCAAATTAACAGTAACTCCCTCTATTCGGTATTTTTAAGATTTTATTTATTATTTTTTTTAATTTTCCAATTTGTTCCAAATGGTGGGGGTTATTCAATTTCGGGCCGGCCGATGCTTTTAACTTGGTTTTTTTCCAGAACGAGTGGACATGGAGTGGATATATTTCATTTTCAAACCTGCTCTATGAAATAATTTCGTATTTTACAGGGTCATTATGAAAATTTGAGCTTATTTGAGGATGTACATGAAGAATTAGGTCAATATTGTAAATATTCGAATCTGACATAAGTCTTATTTAAATATTACTATGTACCAAGGTACTTCCATCGATCTATATTAACTTTGTGATTTTTTTTAATTTAAACTAATGTGAGGGATCTACCGGAAAGAGGGAAACAATAGTGTCCATCACCAAATTCCGTCCAAGTTTAATAAAAATATTACAGATACTAACTTCGAAAGTTATCGTGCACACCAGTCTAGCCAGAAAGGCAAATGTCCTACAACGTATTTCCTCCACAGACATCTATTGTCTACAACTATTATTTCGATGAGGCATATTTTGGCCGTATTGCTAGTTTTTGACGAATTCTGTCCAGATTTGGATATAGCTCCCAATATATATCTTCGTTTATTGTTCGTAAAAAATCGTGGTATTAGTGCAAATGGGGTGAATTTCGGCAGAGACTACAAAATTTTGCTCAAAAGCAAGCATGTCAAATTTTTATACCCTCCACCATACATAGTATGGAGGGTGTATTAAGTTCGTCATTCCGTTTGTAACTCATCGAAATAATCATTTTAGATCCAAAAAAGTATATATATTCTTGATCAGCGAAAAATTCTAAGACGATTAAGCCCTGTCCGTCCGTCTGTTGTAATCACGCTACAGGCTTAACGAATTAAGATAGAAACCAAATTTTTTGCCCAGATCTCTCTTTTGTCTACAGGCAGGTCAAGTTCGAAGAAGATATCGGTCCACGATATCGTATAGCTCCCATATAACGGTACCCCCGATATCCGGTATTTTGATGATTTTAGCCACATTTTTAAACGGAATTGTCTTAAATTATATACAAGGAGTTATTTGTGAGTACTTTATCTCTAGACATAGATTTGTCTATAAAGGTCCACAATATCGTTTATCCTCCCATATATCGGCACCTTCCGAGATTTTAACTGAATTTTTAATGAATTTGATTTTTTGAAAATGTCCTAATTCGTTCCAAATGGTGGAGGGTATTCAAAGTTCGGCTCGGCCGAACTTACTGCTTTTTTACTTGTTTAAAATCGGCTAAGATGTACTTGTAGCTCCCATATATATGTTTTTATGCGATATATATATATGTCCTCCACAGCCGTAGAACTGGTAAATACCCTTGACAAAGTTTGTCGAAATCGGTTCAAAGTTGGATATAGCTCAATATATATTTCCCTCTATTTTGATGTGAATAATATTCCAACGAACCCAATTAAGTTGTTTAATCCCATTTTATACTTTAGTATTCTGATGATATTTGATTCGAAAGGTCAAATACAATTTACCTCAGTCAATTTTACTGGAAATGGATTAAGATTTAGGTTTTATATGTAGCTGCAATCGATTTCAATTTTAAGCTGCTCTAAAACCTCAATATGTAATAAATAATTAAATTGTCAATATAAACGTTTATTTGCTACAGGTGCCTCTACTAAATATTCATAGTGGTCTTGGGTATCATAAAATCGGCAACGACTGGTTATTAATTGCAACATTTAAAACTTTCAAATTATATATACCCTCCGTAGTCATTGGTGGTCTGTTAAAGACAGATTGACAAAGAACAAGAGCTTTTTCTAAATAAACTGCCATTCTGTCCTTAAACTCATTTTTTTCTTTTTAAGAAATTATCTGATTTGATTACAGAGTAAGTCAATAGATATAGATACATGTGTTCACACAATTGAACTAACAACAAATAATTTTTGTGAGTCAATGACCTTTGTTACCGGTTGTTTACATTTCAGCTAAGGTAAATGACACCGGCAGTTATTAAAGGATCCCTAGCCCACGTGCTATGGACACGGCTGCGGAGTTGGAGTCGGAGAGTCGAGTAATTTTGGTTGAGTTGGAGTGGTGAAAAAAACCTCGACACCGACTCCGTATCATTAACATTTGTATGTGATTTCTTACGCGCGCCAATTATTATAGGAATTGGGAGGAAATCAGGGCATAAGTTAGCTTAAAATTCAAATATGCTGATATTTTTTCAATCTATATCTTATGATGCAATTTGGTCATGTATTATATATTTGGAGCATAGATGGAAATTAAATCTAAACCTGACCGATTATTACCAATTTCAATACGGTCACGCCGGGTTTTCACTCAACCCAACAGAATTTTATTTTGCAATCACTTAAATTTTTTGTCTTTTTCTCGGATTCGGAGTCGTAAATAAAATTTAAAATTGTTCTATTCCACATCCCTTGTAGTTACATTTGAATAACAAGGTAAGGTATCCTCAAAATTCTAATCCATTTCATTACAGATGTTTTAGGAGCATTTAGGATTTTTAAATATTCTTATACATCTTCATGTAACAAACTTTACCTGGCTTATTCAAAGACCTTTGGGAAATCAAATGTTGAAATATCTCACCCTTTCCTAAAAATATTTTCTCCATTAGAACTCTTGAAATAATACCTACATCTTTATAAAATAACCTGCTCCTGCTATAAGTAGGGCAACTGTTCCAACCCACCCACCACCCCCTTCCTCTTATCCAGCTAATATGTCAACAAATTAATTATACAGGATTTCGGTAGGAAAAGTCACATACAAATGTAGTTATTTATGAGGGGATGTGTGATGTCGTGTTATTAGGAAATGTTAAAGGCGTTAAAATGCTACTCTTCTACACTCGTTGTTGGTATTTTACACCATTTCCACTTGAACGGATTTGAAGAAATCCCCCTAAACGAGGCCAAAAAAGTCAATGACCATTGGCTTCTTGTGCGACTGTAAACGGTGTTGAGACAAACGACAAAAGCACAGTCTGACATGAAAAGTGGAAGAGAGAGGTGGCATGACTTCATTCTAAGTTCGTTGGTATTGCGTGAGTCTAAAGATTTCTGGGAAACTTTTCGTAAGACTTACCGCCGCCACCTGGCATTGTCCATGAACCCTTACTGGGGAGGTAAGCGTGAAAGCAAGGATGTGGGTCATTTTGAAAATAAAAAGACCGAAATAACAAACAAAACTAAGAAAGAAGTGACCACCATGACGTTGGCGAATGATTAATTTATTTTGCCAACGAAAAACAGGCGCGCGATTAAAAAGGTCATAGTTTGCAAACGAAAAATCAAGCTGTTCATGATGAATGTGAATTAATTGAACTCCAAATGGAATATGAAAATAGCTGGCTTTAAGGCTTCTTGAAGGATAAAAAATTAAATGCAAAATATTTTCTTTTAAACTAAGAAAACCCTTCCAATTTTTTATACCCTCAGTCAGAACCGGTATATGTAATTTGAACGGTACATCATTTGATACCGCTAGGTCTCTTCGTACCAAGTCCATATCAGGACATTTGGAGTCGATCTATCGGTGTCCGTCCGTCCGTCTGTCTGTCGGTCTGGCTGGAGCGCACGATAACTCTCGAATGGAGTATCCAATTTGGTCCAAACTCGGTACATCGTAATATTATTATCAAACTTACATGGAGTTGGGAGATGACAATATCGGTCTATTGCTTCTGACACCTCTCTCACAAAAAGTCGAAATTTCAAAAAAAAAAAAAAAATAAATAAATAAATAAAATAAAATTCTGCATTGAAAGAGAAAGGATAATCCGATTTTGCTCCAACTTTGCATATTCTAATATTTGCATCGGTGCGAAAAATAGACAATATCGGTTTACTCCATCAAATACCTTCTCTACAAAGGGTCATATTTTGAATAACTCTTATAAAATGTTATGTAAGTGTCTGATTATCTTCAAATTACGCACATAACAAGGTCTGGTGTGAAGATGAAATATTTCAGTCCTCTCCTTCTGGTACCTCCCCTACAAAGGGTCAACATTTTGAATATCCGTGAAACTCATAAAACGCGAAATTAACATCTGATTCCATTTATACTTCGCACATCTCAATATATCTGTCACCACAATTTCTGTTATAAAGATTGTAGAGATCAGATCCTTGCTTCTGGTACCTCCACTACGAAGTTGAAATAACCAAAACGATTATAAAATCCGAAATAAACATCCACTTCTCTTCATATTTCACTCATCCCATTACTTCTACTAACAAAAGATTATCGGTCCACTCCTTCTGGTACCACCCCCACAAAGGGTCAAATTTTTGAATATCCATGAGGCTCTTAAAACGCGCAATTAAAATCCGATTCCATTTAGACTTGGTGCAT